CGAAAGGGCGACTCAAGCAAAAGTTAAGACACCAAAAAAACATATTTGAACTACGTTATGACTTGATCTCTTTTTCGGAAAGGTACATAGACAACTTGAAAACGAGAGTCAAGTTCAGTCACATAAAAAAATAAATGTTCCAACCTTATAGACGAAGAGGCAAGATCAAGGCATCATTCCGAAACTAAGTCTTCGAAGTTGTTATGCAGAATCTTGAGCAAGCATTCCAATGTCTATATTCCAAGAATGAGCAAGCATCAAAAGTATTATGGAGCAGAGAGTCTCAAAGGCGGTGCAAGCACAATGTGCATCAAAGGCAACGCAGTCCCAAATGCGGCACCTGTAGCAGTGGCAGCCAGTAGCGACGTGTCCTTGTCCTCTCAGGTAGCAATGTGTCATTTTCCTCACAGTGGCATCAAAGCTTGTCATAGCAGCATCACAGCAGCGATTTGTCCTCACAGACAGCGGTGTGTCCTCGTCTTCGCAGGTAATGGCAATACGTGTAGTCAGGTGACTCCCTTGCAGCAGTGGCAATACGTGCACTCCATCGACTTTCTTACGGCTAGCACACTCTTTTGTAGCTATCACACTCCCTTGCAGCGAACACACTTCTTTGCAGCAGTCTCTATTACGGCAAACAACATTTCTTGCGACGAACAGATTCTCGTGCGGCGAATAGCCTCCCTTATGGCAACCTTCATTACGGTAAACAAACTCTCTTGCAGCGACCAGTCGCTATTGCGGTAAGCAGCAATCCCTTGCGACGATCACACTGCCTTACGACGATCACACTCCCTTATGGTGAGCACACCTCCCTTACGGCGATCACATTTCCTTGCGGCGCGTAGCCTTTTTTACGGCGATCACACTCTTATATGTTGAGCAACCTCCCTTGCGATAGCAACAGCTGGCGTTGCAGAACCAATGCCGAAAGTTGCACCAAACTAAAAAAAAAAAAATAGCCACCACCTATGGTTGGAAACTACACTCGAGGACGGCACGCAGACTTGATTCGAAGAAGGTAGAAACTTGCAGAGAGCTGCCACTAACTGCAGAAATTTGCAGAAAGCCGCCATTAACTACAAACTTGCAAAGAGCCACCACTAACTGCAGATACATGTAGAAAGCCGCCATTAATTGTAGAAATTTGCAAAAAGCCACCACTAACTGCAAAAACTTGTAGAAAGCTGCCACTAACTACAAACTTGCAAAGAGTTGCCACTAACAGGCAATGCAATGAGAGTGCCGCGATGGTTGTGCAGTAGTTCTGCAACGAGAGGGCAGTGACGGTAGGTTATCATGCAATGCAGTTGCTGTGTAGTGTACAGTGGATGTGCAGTCCAATCAAGCCCAGTTTTGACAATGCAAGTAACAGTGCAACACGGAAAAAAAACCCTACAAAGAAGAAGGGTGTTAGGCTGCTACAAAGAATGTGACAATAAAAAAAAAGTTTCACTTACTCAACAAAGAGCCAAAACCTTGTGGCATTCGTTCATCCAAGATCAAGTCATCACGACCCTTGGATCAACAACACTACACATCTACACATTTCAGAGATTAAATCGAAGGATCAAATTGTAAAGAGATTGTAACCTTACAAATTCATTAATACAAACATTTAATTTTTACACGTGTTATTGTCTCATTTGTCGCAGGAAATTCGTGTTTACAGGGGCATGTAAAATATCCTTACTGTAACGAAGGCCACATAACACTTGGCCTTGATGGGAATTTGGCATGCTGGTTGGGGAAGGGAAATGGATTTGATATCCAATTTCTGATCGGAGCGTACAAATTTGAGCACATGATAGGGTGGGAATGGAATATCATGGCTAAGGAGGAGGGATGAAGGAAAAGTAAAAGACAAAAAGCAGTAAAAACATGAGAAACTCCAGATAGGTGGCATAAGGCCCAAATCTGAGACAAGCTCAGAGATATTATGGTCAAGCTCAAGGAAAACTGGAAAAGGGAAGGAAGAGGAGGAGGGCAGAGGAGATAAGAGGGAAAACGTGAGGGTGTAGCGGGCTACGAGGGGGGAAGGATGAGAAAGGGGTTGCTGTAAGAGAAAATGGGCAGAGGAGATAGGAGGGAAAAATGGAGCATGCAGCGGGCTTCGAGGAGAGAGGGGTGGGCACCAGCACCCAAGCCAAAGGCAAGGGCCGACGACAAATGAGCTTCTAGGTTTGTGTTACTACAGAGAGAGCTTTTTTTTTCTTCACGCATTTTCTCTCTAAGCTTCCACTTCGTCTTCTGATTTGCCGTCCGAACTTGTATGCTATTTTTACTTACCCATTCCATATACATCCTAAGTAAAGGTGACTTCAGCGAGATTATGAGTTTAATAAAGTGTGCTTAATCGACAATGAATGCTCGCCTAGATTCTGAGGTTGCCAGGGTTAAAGAAGATGATAAGAATTTGTCCACCGATACTGATCAGTGGTCATCATCTCAACATATGGATCAGTTGGCTAATCAACTTAGGTCCACCGACCACTCATCTCATCTGTTTTCATTGTCCAGGGGGCAAAGAGTTCAAGCAAAAGAGGAAAGCACTTTTATTTTGACATGGTTAGTACCTTTTTATCCTTATTCTTGGCCAAGGGAAAGCTAAGTATAACGTGCAAATTTTTTTAGAGTGCTGATAAAACTACCCACATGTCCTATTTTCCCATCCACCTGTTAATAAAAACTTTAACGACATATTTAACCACTTGTCAAAAGACTTTAAAAAGCCTATTTAAAACTAATTTAATATATTTTTGACAAAAAAAAAAGAAAAAAAAAAGAGCTAAAAAATAGGATGAGGGTCCAGCCCGTTCTTTCTTCCTCCCCTCCTTCCTCTGTCTTCCTACCCCAACCATAATTTTGTCTTCCCCCTTCTCTCTTCTCTCTCATTTATCTCTTCTCCGTCCCCCTCTCTCCCCCCAAACTCTCTCCATCCATCCCTTTTTCTCTTCCTAATTTTCAATTGCAACACAAAATGTGGTAAGACATTTACTTTTGATGTGGTATTGTGTTAACTATAGATTTGGTGCGGGAGACAAATAGAGAGCTAGGAAGACAAAAGAGAAATAAAATAGGTATGTCACTGCACAGGAGAAGCACATATGCTTTTAGAAACAGGGAAGAGAGCATGAGATAGTTAAAGAAGCAACTAACACTATTCTTTAAGGATGAACCCAACTAACACTTGTGAGTCTATGATAACCGAACACTCCGTAGTAGCTACCAATAGAAAACAAATCTATATATACTAAAGCCCAATTCCCCTCACTGTTCATCATGTGAGAGGGGTTACTGTTCACGGACAGTGTATGGATACTAAAGCCCAGTTCCCCTCACCGTTCATCATGTGAGAGGGGTTACTGTTCACGGACAGTGTATGGACGAAAACGCCCTCCAAATGCTTCTTTCTGTGGCATTTTTTGTGTTTTTTCACAGTAAAAAGGTGGTTTTACCCTCATTAGCCTACGCGTCCCTCATTGCTCCGCCTTCTTCCTTTGTTTTTCTGCTTTCTTCTTTCTCTGTGCCATGGAAGAAAATATCGATAATATCGGCGATATATCGCCGATATTATTGGTTTTTTCCCGAACCGATATTTTAAATGATATCCAAGGTGTTTTCGTCATAATATCGCGATAATATCGATAATATCGCGATATTATCGCGAAATTTCGGAACTGTGCACGTCGGAGACGAACGCCGAAGCTTCTACAGCTCCGGTCGACTGTAAAACTGCCCTCTAGCCTCGCCGGAGATGGGTGTACTTATTCCCGAGTCGATTTCATCCCAAAAACCTTGCAAAAACACGACATATAACTTCAATTTCACATCTAACCTTCGATCTAGAATATAAAAAGAAAAACCCGAAGCTTACCTACCTGAGAAATTGAAGGAACTCGCCGGAGCAGGTGCGATGGTGTGCGTGTGGGTCTCGGTGCAGAGAGAAGAGAGATCTCTGTGTGAGTGTGTGTGGTTGGACTGGGAGAAGGGAGAAGAGAGATCGAGAGATCTCTGTGTGAGTGTGTGTGTGGTTGGACTGGGAGAAGGGAGAAGAGAGATCGAGAAGGATCTCTGTGTGAGTGTGTGTGTGGTTGGGCGAAGGGAGAAGAGAGATCGAGAAGGATCTCTGTGTGAGTGTGTGTGTGGTTGGACTGGGCGAGAGAGAGAGAGAGAGAGAAAGAGAGAGAGACTTTAACATACCACCCAAGGTGGACGGGTAGTGGACGGGAGACTTAAACAAACAAAACCATTGGCTTTGATGGTTGTAACTTGTAATTATGAGGTGGACAGGTGACGTGAAAGAGGTGAAGTGCACCTCTGATGGTTTTAACTTTTAATAAATGTTATATAAATTATTTAGATAATATTTTGTTTTTTTTACTAAGCAAGCAGATTATATTCGAACCCTCCCTTTGTCAACCACGCACCTAAGCTTTATCCAACTCGCTACAGATGTGTTTGTGATTACATATTCAGCCTGTAATATTTATATGGTCGTTAAGATGTCTGCAAGGCTTGCAAGCTAATATTTATTATCTAGGATAAATTTCTATATTTTAAAAAACACCAAGGTGAAAATTTTGAACCTCATAGGAACTCTATGTGGTACTAAGTCACTCATGTATCTTACCATGCAATGTATAAAGTGTAAAATATTGTACTAATTCATTATATATAAATGATTATGGTGTGTTTAGACTTCTTTCATTAATTACTACATATTTTATACACTCACAATGTTTGTCAGCTCACTATATAATCAACTTGATAATGTTAAATCCATCATGCAATGCATTTCCTTCCAATTTTTTGTGATAAACTAATAGATAATTGACTAAATAAACATTCTGCAAAGTTTCAATAAAAATTTCCAAGTTTTTCTTACAATTTCCATGGTTTCCATGTAATTTTTATCGATATCGATATTATCCCGATATTTCCATCGATATTTCCGTGTTTTCGGACTACCGATATTTCCGATATTACCGATATTTTCTTGCACATTGCACACGCGTCCTCATCGTCCTCATCCGTGTGCCTTTTCGTTGGATTTTCTTACTGCTATACACATGTTCTTCATCCCAAAACGGAGGAAAGATGGAAAATCAAGGCTCTTCCATTTGCTTCCACAAATTTCTTGATCTCTCTCGAGCTCCGGATCCTAGCCTCCGCATGAAGGTTCGTCTCTTTCTCTTACCTTTTTTTTTTTCAATTCGTGATCGAATTTTCTTTCCAAGAATGTTAGATCTGTTGCCTTCGGGAAGAAAGTTTAAACCTAGAAAAGTTTGGTTTTCAGGAAATCGTCAATCTTGCTGAAACCTTGGTTTCCTGGTGAGTTCTCCGGCATATTTGTTTTGGGTATGGTTTTTGAGTTCTCTTTTTTTTGTTCAATTTTTTGTGATTTTAAATCCTCTCGGTGGCTACAGATTTCATCAGTTTTTCGGTTCGATCAGGATCACTTTTTTACCCACGAAATCTAGCATCTTCTGGTGAGTTTCGCGACTTTCTTCGTGTGGCTTTTTTGAATTTTGTTTTTGTGGTTTTCGATGTCCACATGGGTTTTTTGTTTGAATTTTGTATTTGTGATTTTGCTGGTTGTTTTGAATTTATAGATGGCTTTTCTGTTCCAATTTTGATTCTGTGATTTTGAGAGTTTGTTTATATTGTCAGATCCGGCTTGGGTGTATGATCAAGAGACCTTGCTGTTTGTTTTTGGGCTTTGGTGTATAGACTTCGAAGTCCTTTGTGCACAAGGTAAATAATTTAGTATCTTCCTTTGAGGATTTTGTGTCACAAAATTTTTACTTTTTGTGTGTTGTGGAGGTTAAATTTTGTGTATTGTGAACGTTGAATCTGTGCAATTCCATTTGTTCTTAATTTTTTTGTGTATTTGGATAATGTCGTTTTTTTTGGTGTTTTAGGTGGTGTTGCTTAAGTTAGTCTCTTTTGTTCTAAGTTGTAAATGATTTTCATTCCATGTTATGTTGAGTTATGTTATTGCAGCATTGAAAAGAGATTGAGGGTTTTGGTTTAGTCAGACGGAGGGGGAGATAAAGAGAGAAGTGGATTATGTGCATGAATGGGGTATGTAGTTCAGTTGTTTCTGAGTATTTGAATTTCAGTTTTTATTTTTGTGGTTCACCCGTATTCATTTTGGATTGTTTTTTTTTTTTTTCAATTTTATTTTACATATTGTTTTGGATAATGTGATTGGAGCTTTTAAAAGAGAAATATAGAGGTTTTTCTTTAGCTAGAGAAAGGACATGAATTGTGTCCCCAAATGGGTTTGTTGGGTAAGGTATAAATCTTGATTAAGAGTGAGTTTTAAAAGAAAAACAAAAGAAAAAATGAACTCAATGCAATCTCCTTTAATTAGCTCTTAAACCTAATTTCTCTCTCTCCTCTCTCTAAAATCCATTTTTCATTTTCTGAAAAGGGTTCAACATATATTGTCTCTTTGTGTAGGTGGTACTCGGAGAATTTTGTCAAGGGCCAATGGGACAAGGAGGATTGCATTTCAGATTGGCAGAAATACAATGCCTCCCATCTGTGTGTTTCCAATCTTTCCCCTCCTCCTAAATTTTCATCTAAATCACAATTTATATGATTATTTTGCTGATTCTATTTTTTGGTATTTGAGTTTTTATCTCCTGATTATTTTTTTTTTTCCAGAGAACTCCGCCGTGTAAGTTTATCTTACATTGCCGGTCCCAAGTCCGGATAAAGGAGGAGGGGGAGGGCGTCAGGTAGTCGACAGCCGGCACTCCATGATCACGTCGAATTCTTATGAAAATGAATCCAGAACAAAATCGCGCTAAAGCTAGGGCGTCACCCGTAAGTGGCGCGTTGTGTGGCCCGAGCACAGTGATAAGTGAGCAAGGGTCGCTGTATCTCCATCGGCACCCGGATGCAGTGTTAAATGAGCAAGGGGGCTATAGAAACTTCTTTTCGAACGACTCCACTCAAAGTTGTTTGGGAGCATATGCTCCTATCAACTTTACACGGGACACACAAAAGAAGTACTTTGATCCTATTAGACGAGGAAGGGTGAAGAAGCTAGGACAGAAGGGTAGAGTTCAAGAGAGCAAAATGCGTTTAGGAACGTGGAACATAGGAACCTTGACGGGAAAATCTATGGAAGTAGTAGAAGTTATGGTGAGGAGAAGGATAAATATTATGTGCCTACAAGAAACTAAGTGGGTTGGTCGTAAGGCAAAGGATCTAGAAAACTCAGGGTTTAAACTATGGTATTCGGGCACAAATAGAACGAGAAACGGTGTTGGCATCATCGTGGACAAGACCTTGACACAAGATGTTGTAGATGTCAAGAGGGTAGGAGATAGAATCATGGCAATCAAGATTGTAATAGGACAAGAACTTATCAATGTGATTAGTGCGTACGGACCTCAAGTAGGGTTGGATACGAGTTCGAAGGAGAAATTTTGGGAAGACCTTGGAGACTTGGTGCAAGGAATTGCTCAGACGGAGAAGTTATTTATAGGAGGAGATTTAAATGGACACGTAGGCAGAGAGACAGGCAACTATGGAGGTTTTCATGGTGGCCATGGTTTTGGGGAGAGAAACGAGGATGGGGAAGCTATCTTGGATTTTGCAATGGCATATGATCTCTTCTTAGCCAACACCTTCTTTAAGAAGAGAGAAGAACATGTGATCACCTACAAGAGTGGGTCGTCAAAAACACAAATAGATTTTCTTCTAATGAGGAAAGGGGATCGTATAACTTGTAAGGATTGCAAAGTTATACCAGGAGAGAGCGTGGCTAATCAACATCGCTTGTTGGTGATGGATGTACATATCAAAAGAGTGAGAAAAAAGAACAAGACTTGGAAGTGCCCAAGGACTAGATGGTGGAATCTAAAAGAAAAAAAACAAGCCATTTTCAAAGAGAAAGTAATCACCCAGTGTGTGTGGGATAGAGAGGGGGAAGCTAACCAAATGTGGGATTCCATGGCTAGTTGTATCCGAAAAGTAGCAAAAGAGGTATTAGGAGAGTCCAAGGGCTTTGCCCCACACCAAAAGGAATCTTGGTGGTGGAATGAGGAGGTACAAACAAAGGTGAAGGCTAAGAAGGAATGTTGTAAAGCCTTATACAAGGATAGGACCGATGAAAATGGTGAAAGGTATAGAAAAGCGAAGCAAGAGGCGAAGAAAGCTGTGAGAGAAGCTAAGTTAGCGGCTTATGACGATATGTATAAGCGACTAGATACCAAAGAAGGAGAATTGGATATCTATAAACTAGCTAGAGCAAGGGAAAAGAAGACAAGGGACCTAAACCAAGTGAGGTGCATCAAGGATGAGGATGGAAAGGTTCTTGCTACAGAGAACGCGGTTAAAGACAGATGGAAAGGTTATTTTCATAATCTTTTCAATGAAGGACATGAAATGAGTGCTTCTTTAGGGGAGTTGAGTAACTCAGAAGAGTGTAGAAACTACTCTTTTTATCGTAGAATCCGGAAGGAATAAGTGGTTGTAGCTTTGAAGAAGATGAAGCATAGAAAAGCAGTAGGCCCAGACGATACACCAATCGAAGTGTGGAAAGTTTTGGGAGAGATAGGTATAACATGGCTCACTGACCTTTTCAATAGGATTTTGAAAACGAAGAAGATGCCAAATGAGTGGCGAATGAGCACTTTGGTGCCTATCTACAAGAATAAGGGCGATGTACAAAATTGCATGAACTATAGGGGTATTAAGCTAATGAGTCATACAATGAAGCTTTGGGAGAGAGTCATTGAGCATAGATTGAGGCAAGAGACACGGGTTTCGGACAACCAATTTGGGTTCATGCCAGGGCGCTCAACCATGGAGGCAATCTATCTCTTACGAAGATTGATGGAAAGATATAGAGATGGGAAAAAGGATTTACACATGGTCTTTATAGATTTGGAAAAAGCATATGATAGGGTCCCAAGAGACATTCTTTGGAGGATTTTAGAGAAGAAAGGAGTACGAGTAGCATATATCCAAGTTATAAAGGATATGTATGAAGGAGCAAAGACTGCCGTAAGAACTCATGAAGGACAAACCGAAAGCTTTCCCATAACTGTAGGATTACATCAAGGCTCATCTTTAAGTCCTTACCTTTTTGCGTTGGTAATGGATGAGTTAACAGGACATATTCAAGATGATATTCCTTGGTGTATGCTTTTCGCAGACGATATAGTGTTGATAGATGAAACTCAGGAATGGGTAAATGCAAAGCTTAACCTTTGGAGAGAAGTGTTGGAATCTAAAGGTCTTCGCCTAAGCCGATCAAAGACAGAATATATGGAGTGCAAGTTCAGTGCAAATGGAGGCCAAAACGAGTTAGGGGTGAGGATCGGAGATCAAGAAATACCAAAGAGCGACCGTTTTCGTTACCTAGGATCTATCTTGCAAAAGAACGGAGAATTAGATGGAGATCTCAACCATAGAATACAAGCTGGATGGATGAAGTGGAAGAGTGCATCCGGCGTGTTGTGTGACCGCCGTATGCCACTGAAGCTCAAGGGAAAATTTTATAGGACAGCAATAAGGTCGGCGATGTTGTATGGCACAGAATGTTGGGCGGTGAAGCATCAACACGTACACAAAATGGGTGTAGCGGAGATGAGGATGCTTCGTTGGATGTGTGGGCACACGAGAAAGGATAAGATTAGGAATGAGGATATCCGGGGTAAAGTAGGAGTAGCCAAAATTGAAGGAAAGATGAGAGAAAATCGATTACGGTGGTTTGGACATGTGCAAAGAAGGCCTACTGACGCTCCGATTAGAAGATGCGACTATAGGACAGAGGTTCAGGGCCGAAGGGGTAGAGGAAGACCTAGGAAAACTTTGGAAGAGACCCTAAGAAAAGACTTAGAGTACTTGGATCTAACGGAGGACATGACACAGGACAGAACACAATGGCGTTCTAAGATTCATATATTCGATCCCACTCAGTGACTTGGATTTTCCAAGTCTCCAACCGAGAAGTTTTCCTCACTCGGGAAATTAAGGGAACACTACCTCAACCTACATGCTCCACTCACAAAGCTTCAACATACAAGCTTCAACAAAAGAAAATTCAAAGAACTTAGCGAAGAAGGCTTTGGTGTATTTAACACAATACGTTGAAATGAAGGAAAGCTTATTTATTGATATCCCCGATAAGTTACAAATATGTACATATACTTGAGTCAAAATAAACAAACAAGAGGGAGCCTTCACAAAGGTTGCTTAGGAGAAGTCTCAGCAGTCGGTAGAGCCCCAGAAAGAGAAGGCACCGGAGGGGGATCATTCGGAAGCCTCAGTACTGGACAAAAAACCCTAGAAGGAGGAGGCATCAGAGGTTGATCATTTGGAGCTTCATTACGCGGTACAGCCCCAGAAGACGAAGGCAATAAATGCCTTTGGAACAAACCCACAAATCTCTGATGATCAAGTAAAACCTGACCATCAGATTCCTTCATCTGGTCAAGCTTCCTCTTCATGTTTGTAGCATAGTCATGTGCGAGCCGGTGCAACTGTTTATTCTCATGCTTGAGCCCTCTAATCTCCTGTTTGAGACTCATCACTTCAGCCGCCAATGATTCAACTTGGCGGGTTCGAGCAAATAGGCGTTGGGCCATATTAGACACAGAACCTGCACACTGAACACTGAGAGCCAGAGAATCCTTAACAGCCAACTCATCAGACCGTTTGGAAAGTAGTCTATATCTTTGGGAGTGAGAAGGTTCCTGGCCACTACTGCAGCGGTCATATCATTCTTCATCACGGAATCCCCAACGGTAAGAGAACCAGTAGGGGAGACGAAGGATGGGCGCCATATGTTGTCTGGAGAAGGCGGGGCTGCCTCTTCAACAAGGTTCAAGTCAAAACGACGGTCGGAGGGGCCAGACATTTTCAAAGGTGTTGAAGAGAGAAAAGGTCGGACAAATCAAGATCTTAGAAGTGCAAGAATAGAGCTTCTACTGGTGGATATTCAAGTGTGCTTTGGAACTTAATGTCAGCCCCTATAAAAATCTGCACTCGACGAAGCTTCAGAAATCGAAGAGGCGCCTGCTCAGAAATCAAAGAGGCGTTTGCTTTCTCCAAAGATGGGCTGCTCAGAGACCACGAGGGTCGATCTCAGAAATCGAAGAGGCGTTTGCTTTCTCAAAAGCTGGGCTGCTCAAAGACCACGAAGGCCGATCTCAAAAATCGAAGAGGCTTGCTTTCTCAAAAGCTGGGCTGCTAAGAGACCACGAGGGCCGATCTCAGAAATCGAAGAGGCACCTACTTTTCCAGCCTTGTCAGCACCTGTCACACGCACACTCAGCTTTGCGGAAATTATGGGCATTCTGTCGAAGATTTCTGGCGAAGTAGAAAGCACATGAATCGTACTGTTCAATCACCCACTTCCCACACGCAACAGTAACTCATGGGTACCACAGATAACTTTGCCAAAGTTCTCTGACAAAGTTGAGACACGTGAAGCTTGCAGCTCCCGCTACATCGCTCTGACCAAGAAGGGTAAAAGAATTGCAAAGAAACAACACTAACAAAGTTTAGACACATAAATTTTGAAGGTCTAGCTACCATATTATTACCCACAAGGGTAAAGGAACAGTACCACTGCTGGATAATTGGAAAGTCCCGGTGTGTTAACCTCTGTGCTTCGTGGCAAGGTAGACTAGCAAACATGCCCAACCTTTACTCACATTCGAGAAAACACTCCCAACAGGATTGCTTGCTCCAAAATCGAAGAGGCACCGCCCTCCGAATCTCGAGAGCCAGACTCCCAACATGATTACTTTCTCAAAAATCGAAGAGAGGGTAAAGGAACAGTACCACTGCTGGATAATTGGAAAGTCCCTGTGTGTCAACCTTTGTGCTTCGTGGCAAGGTAGACTAGCAAACATGCCCAACCTTTACTAACATTCGAGAAAACACTCCCAACAAGATTGCTTGCTCCAAAATCGAAGAGGCACCGCCCTCCGAATCTCGAGAGCCAGACTCCCAACATGATTACTTTCTCAAAAATCGAAGAGATGGTAAAGGAACAGTACCACTGCTGGATAATTGGAAAGTCCCTGTGTGTCAACCTTTGTGCTTCGTGGCAAGGTAGACTAGCAAACATGCCCAACCTTTACTCACATTCGAGAAAACACTCCCAACAAGATTGCTTGCTCCCAAATCGAAGAGGCACCGCCCTCGGATCTCGAGAGCCAGACTCCCAACATGATTACTTTCTCAAAAATTGAAGAGACACCGCTCTCCGAATCTCGAGAGCCAGACCCCCAGCAGGATTGCTTTCTCAAAAATCGAAGAGGCATCGTTCTCTGAATCTCGAGAGCCAGATCCTCGACAGGATTGCTTGTTCGAAAACCGAAGAGGCACCACTTTCCCAACTTCAAGAGCTGGATCTCCTTGGATAAAGCTTGTCTGTAATCTTCACACGCAACATCAGCTTTCAAGATACCACAGACCACTTTTTCAAAGTGCTCTGACAGAGTTAAAACATGTGAAGCTGGCAGCTCCCACTACCGTGCTATGACCAAGCAGGGTAAAGGAATAGCATTATTACTTGATGTTAGGGAGACTCCTATATATGTCGACCTCCATCCCTAACGGACAGGCAGACCTACAAAAATGCTCAACCCTTTCTCTTATCTGAGAGGGCACTCCCAACGAAGCCTTTCGAAATATTCAGCTTTCTTTCCCCCCGATAATACCTCTGTAAACAAGCTATACTAGAGCAAGAATATCTCATATCATCAGGGTTAAAAGCAAGAGTATCCCATATCATGCTTTTTCCCTGTCTTTTCCTTTGGCCTTGTTCTTACCTGCAAGACAAGGAGAAAGAGAGCAAATCAAACTTCCAGCCAGGAACTGACTGCCTGGAACCCCTTACCTGATTACTTACCTGGCATTGCTTTCGAGTACTCATCTTCAACATCTTATGCTTCCAGGGAAGATACCGCATCTGCCTGAGGAACAGATAGGGTAAGTGAGAAGGATACAAGGAAGCATGTGGAGACAAGCGTAACAGCACACGTGCCGATACATCCACTACTCTGTTAAAAGCAAAAGTATCCCATATCAGCAGGGTCGAACGTACTCTAGATTTGATGGACTTGTTTTGACCCTCAAATTCTTCAGTCGGCCTTATACTCTAGAGGAAACCAGAAAACCCTCCAGCCCGGTTCAAGAATAAGCCTGTGGAAAGTTACTTCTTCAAAAGCAAAAGTATCCCATATCATCTCTTCTCATTTTTCTTCTCTTTATCCTTCATGCTGCCTGCAAGATAGGGAGAATGTGAACAATCAGCCGGAGCTCTGATTGCTTACCTTGTATGTCACCTCTTTCAGCAGATCCCCTAGCCCGACGACTTGGGGGACTCCTACTACATGGTTTGTATCGCGCTTGACCAAGCCTGAAACTACAAGTAAGCTTCAAGTGAATTTGATACATTACCTTGTGCATCTCCACCAGTTACAGATACCACCCCTGGATGGAGGAAGAGTACTTCCAGAGAAGATGCCACATCTACCTATGAGACAGATAAGGCAAGTCAAGACGATACCACACTTCGGTACTTAGAAGTTTCGTGGTTACGAGATCATTCTCCCACAATATTTCCTAATGTCATTTGTACTAAATCATTCACTTGTACTCACTAAAGGAGAGCTTGAACCTATGTACTTGTGTAAACCCTTCACAATTAATGAGAACTCCTCTATTCCGTGGACGTAGCCAATCTAGGTGAACCACGTACATCTTGTGTTTGCTTTCCTATCTCTATCCATTTATATACTTATCCACACTAATGACCGGAGCAATCTAGCGAAGATCCTACCTAGGATCTATCTTGCAAGAGAACGGAGAATTAGATGGAGATCTCAACCATAGAATACAAGCTGGATGGATGAAGTGTAAGAGTGCATCCGGCGTGTTGTGTGACCGTCGTAGGCCACTGAAGCTCAAGGGAAAATTTTATAGGACGACAATAAGGCCAGCGATGTTGTATGACACAGAATGTTGGGCGGTGAAGCATCAACACGTACACAAAATGGGTGTAGCGGAGATGAGGATGCTTTGTGGGATGTATGAGCACACGATAAAGGATAAGATTGGGAATGAGGATATCCGAGGTAAAGTAGGAGTAGCCAAAATTGAAGGAAATATGAGAGAAAATCGGTTCCGGTGGTTTGGACATGTGCAAAGAAGGCCTACTGACGCTCCGGTTCGAAAATGTGACTATGGGACAGAGGTTCAGGGCCGAAGGGGTAGAGGAAGACCTAGGAAAACTTTGGAAGAGACCCTAAGAAAAGACTTGAGTACTTGGATCTAACGGAGGACATGACACAAAACCGAGCGCAATGGCGTTCTAGGATTCATATAGCCAACCCCCACTTAGTGGGAAAAGGCTTTGTTGTTGTTGTTGTTGTTGTATTATTTTTTCCAGAGGTTGTATTAATTTTCCTTTGAGTGGAAATTTGGGGTTTCTTCAGATATAATGTTATCAACTTCTATTTTTTTAATTTTCTGATTTTGGGGTTGTACAGGAAGTGATATAAACTGAATTTTTTGGGTTTTACAGGTCTAATGTTATCAAATTCTTTTTTATTTTTTATAATTTTCTGATTCAGGTATAATGTCATCAAATTCTAGATGAGGTGCATCCAGACATCAGTTTGGTAAAGGTAAAGATTTGCCTAATCCTATTGGTACATACTCATATGAGAAAAGAAGGATTTGAACATGTTAATTAGCTAAGAATTAGTTTACATTAGAGAATATATATGATTTTGGATTTGTGTTGGTGTAGCTAGGGACAATTATATATGTGAATAGATGCTGGGTTGGAAGGTCTACTCATAAAGAAGAACAAATCTAAGGGTAGAGTGAAAACGATTTGGTGACATAGGTTTTGCAACTTATCATGTCAGACTAATAATTTTTCCATCAATTTCTTAATTTTTTTTTTTTGGTTTACGAACGTTAATTGTTTGATCCATGGCATACTATATTGAATGATAACATGTTAACAGTAGTTTTAAACTGACATGATCTTACCCCATTTTGAAAGCAAATTAAAGAAATAATTATGGACATGCATGTAAAATATTATGAATTTAAAGAGGTGAAACCGAACTTACAACTGCTACCTGTTTAGTTTAACACAATTTTGCTCTGCTTAGTTGCTGAGAAAATGTTGGGAAACAAAGGAACAAGATTTGAGTGCTATTTTTATGATGGATGCTTATTTTGATGAGCTTATTAAGTCTTGGATAATTTATGAATTTAAGATCTTCAATTTTAGTATTTAAAGAGTAATATGTGTTTTTTATTTATTTATTATGCAGCAGTTAAAGAAGGGTGCGAGGAAACTTTATAAAAGATTAAGGAAGGTGAATTGATCATGGTATTTAAATTTTAACAGTTCAATTTCTTAAAATTGGGTAAATGCTGGCTTTTAATAGTACTTTGAAGATGGATTTTTTACTTTGAGTTTTGACTCTTTATTGTGCATTTTTTTTATTCAGTCTTTGGCAAGCCATAATACATGATAAACAAAATAATTGGGTTTTAGTAAATATTGATTTTGTAAAATTCTTTATTTAAATTTCTAGGTTCTGATGAATTCTCATTTAGAGTTGGTGACAACCAATTGACTCACCACCGACTTTAGATCAAGATTCAAGTATGCCTTAAATTTGTAAGTCATATTTTCATTCTATTTTGTTGATTTTGTCATCACAATTTATTACAAAGTTGGGATATCGGTTAATTTTTATACTTGGATTTTAACTTTTTATTTGTATTTCTGGAAAATTGCAGAAAGAATGCATTAAGATTCAGCTCTCCGATCCGAAGGACCTTAAGATTGAAGGCTGAATTATTGTAAGTCTGTCTTCTGTCACATGTTTACCCATATTCTTCTGTCCAATCATTTCTTGACACTATGTTAGTAATCCCAATTATTATAGGGATTAACAGATTAAGATATATTTAGATTCTTTTGAATGTAAATAGTATTAATCTTCTTACAATCTTTCATATGTTTACACAATCTTCCATACAATTTTTAATCCCGCAGCAACGTGCAGGCATCGATTTCTAGTAAAACCTAAGACCCAAAAGAGAGAGAAGTCAACCCATTGACGAGGACAATTTTCAAGCAAGACAAGATTTTAAACTTGTCATTATATGATTTTAAACTTGTCATTATATGCATTGAATTGTAGTAGTTTTCTAAATATATGAAGGCGAGGAGGAACCACAACCTAGCATCTTGGAAAACCATGCCAAATGCCGTAAAAACAAAGGGCAGCATAAAAGTAAAGGAGCTGCCGCCAGCAGGGTTTGTGCCAGATTTATTGTCGTCGGCTGGGGTGGGTGGTGTTGTGGCTGTTGGTTTATAGTTTTAGTTTTTTAGTCTTTTTGTTCTTATTTTTTACAACTTAAGCTAGTAGGGATAGTTTTAATTATTTTAATGAATTTAGGTGTATTCAATCAAGATTTTAAGTGATTCTCTAAAATTCAATGTGTATTCAATCAGGATTTTAAGTTAGTTTATTAAAATCCTTATTTAATTAAGATTTTAAAGAAGTTTATAACATTTCAGGTGTATCCAATTAGAATTTGATTTTAAAGAATTTGAAAAGGTTAAGGAATTAGAGGGAATTAGAGAGATTTCGTAGTGTATTTTAAACTTCCACAAATCTTACCTCTCTCCATGAGATTTCGGGAGAATTGAATCAAAATTTTATATGGAATCTTTACAAATCAATTAAACTCCATAAAAATCCATGGATTTATAAATCCATTTAAATTTTATGGTGGGTGAAATTTTATGGGGTGGGTCTAGTAGCACTCTTTTTATATGGTGAGATGTGTAAATTTTATGGTGGGTGAAATTATCATGTGAGTAGGGAAATAAGACAATGAGATAAGTTCAGTAGCACTCTTTTTTATTAGTACCCTACATATTGCCAAATACAACCCACAATAAAACTTGTTGTAAATGACTTATATACCCTTATATAAAATGACTATTTAGGCCCCATAAGATTTTAAAAGTAAATTAAAAATTCTAAATACACTGCAAATCACTTTCAATGTGTATGACCTAAGACTATTTTTTTTTTCAAGTGTTCAAGGTCATTCTCATCCACTATTGTAAAATAACACCCTAACCAATAAAGTATAAACATGTTGATAAAAAATGTTATTTTTTGACGATCAATGTTTGGCGACTTCTCATGATATAAGACTTCAAATGTTTCGTTCTCTTAGTGATTTCAATGACATCATATGTGTATTAAGGTTGCCAATAGACATTTTGTCAAAGAGAACCATGATTGACAGTAAGACTACTAATTAGTTGATATCTTGATAGGATGACTTTTCTTTCGTTATTTATTTGGTTGTATTTCTCTTACTGTTTTTGAGTTGCGTTATGAAACTCCTTTTAGAAGAACAATTTCAACTATTCTTGTGCTTATTGTAGAAGAATTTCATAACCGATCAGTCTAGAAGGTATGTAGTGAATCTGTGGTGGGGTGTGTTTTCGGCGCAGGGGGGGGGTGGTGTTTTGGTGTTGTGTGTGGTGTTGAATAGTTCTTGTTGACAGTTGGTGTGCGGCCTTGGCTCCACCACAGATACGGAATACAGTTTGATGTGGGGCTGCACATGTAGAGTGTGGGATGTATGAAAGTGCGGGGTGTGCAAGTAATATGAAAAAAATATGTGGGGTGTATTAGGATAAATTTGAATTAAAAAATTAATTGTGAAGTGCACTTAATATGTGAGCGTATTCAACATTATGTCGAGTGTGAATAAACAACCCAAAATATAATTCTCGTCTCATTCTTGTTTCAATTCCAAGTTTGATAGAAAAAATGAATTAAACATGAAGAAAAATCAGAAATATTTCTAACCGCCTTTGTGAGAACTTTCCGTCTAATAGCAGAATATGTAGCAGAAATTGGAATCTCAAATGCATATGCATATGAAAACTCTTAAAATGGTACGGATCCTCTCAAACAGATTCGGCTTCCCTTCTAATAACCTTTAAATTTCAACCATTCATATACATTCAGTGGTTGATTCATAGTATTTTACAATTTTTTGCCTTCTTAAAAGTAAATTATTTGGGTGACAAACTCTGAAGTTAAGAAAGGAAAAGAGGTAAACTGGGAATAGTGCAGCCAATCGAACTCTGAAAGAGGATGCAGATGAGATTAGGTTCTCCATACAATAGTTAGGTTTTTCAATCGTGATTCATTCTTTATTTGTTTGCACTTTGCACTCAAACGCCCAAATAGAAGTGAAAAATGCCTTGAATTCAAAAGCAATTCGAATATGGAAAACCGACTTCTAATTCTTGCACGTTCATATGTTATGATCTCTCAACCCCATATCAGATTCTCATTTCAAGGTTTAGACAATTTTGTATCTCATTGGTTTCTTTTACCTTGGAAATATCAAGTGTAAACATGTAAATTTCGGTGAAATGAACACTTTACGGTCTAATGGTATTCATTTTCACTTGTAAATGCGAGATATTGAGCTCGATTCTTATCAAAGGAAAATTTGAACCATATTATTGCTAGCCCATTGTTAGGCTTTAGTCCATTCCCCCACTTCTTTAGTGTAGATAATATCGTTTGTTAAAAAAAAAGTGATTAAGGCTATCTTAATTAGGTCATTGTAACTACAAGAGGTTTTCCTTGGTTTTAATTATCTCTTGTATCAATGAAATGTATCTCCTTATTCAAAGGGCTCCATATGTAAGCTTAAGTTTGTGAATTAGTGATTTAAAAATTAATCTAAGAAGAGAGTGCTTTTCTCCTTAAAAAAACAAGCATTTGATTTGGTCGTGTTGAGTGATTCCATAATTAACAACGTTGACAAGCACCATTGCCCCTGGTTGAATGATTCCCAGGTTCTATCCCCTGTCTCCTCGAGATACATTGGTTTTTCCCTACATCAAGTGGCATTAGAGTAGGTTTTCTGCTGCGTTTGAAGACCATGGTTGTGATTTACAATCTGTTAAAAGATCACACTGTCAAAGAAATTAGTTTCGCCGATTGGAATTCACCACCAATTGATGAGCATGTTGATAACGATGAAGTCAACCATCCTTCTGTAAATGAAGTTGATGAGGATGGTAGAGAGGTAAGCAAGTTATACTCCTCAAATTTGTATGATTTCTTAGAAGTTGATATTGTTATTCACTAGATCAATAAGATTTTTGAACCTAGGGTTGAGCACCAAGTCAAGATTGTGTATGTGAAGGAAACTTTAGAGTTTATGAACGAGGTGGTAAATTCATACTTAAATTCTCAACTTCTATAGTAAGCAAAAAATCCTTACTTTGAAATTCATAATTATATATGGGATAAATTTCTTTATCGTGGTGATTTAGTTGAAAATATTTGAAGAAGAGAAGCCTTGCACACCTGGGTCATGTGTCATTTCGACCATATCCATTTGAAGAAAGAATGTGGAAGTCTTCTATACATGATACTCGATTACATTGTTAAGAAGAATCAACTAATATGTTAGAAATTTAGAAAGTGAATGTGCACCTCTCTGGCAGCTAATCATTGTTCATTAGTGAACAAGTGAATTAAAATTTATCTAAGAAGAGAGTAATTTTCTCTTAAGCATTTGGCTTAACCGGATTGAGTGAATCTACGATTAGCAATGTCGAGCAAGCTCTGTTGCCCTGATTGAGTGATTCATAGGTTCTATCCCTATCTTTTCGAGATACTTTTGTTTTTCCTTGCATCATTTTCCAACACGAAGAGACACTTATTGGGCATCCTTTTCTTCCACTAACAAAAGTTGGAATTAGATACAATTAAACCTCGTAGAAAATTACTCTATTTTGATATCTAACTTATCTTCTTTTACTTGTTTAAGTATCTGAATTACATGAATTTGGACCACATATTGAAGAAAGAGTTCATACTATTACCATTCTAGTTTGACAACGTACATGATCACATAACATGTCAGATTATTTAAAGAGAGATGTTTTTCATACGAAGGTATGCCTCGCTGATACACAAGAATCTGCCGAGAGAAAGAGGGGCAAAGAAAGTTGTCAGGATTGTGATGGATGTTGATATCCATCTTAGCTCTAGACTAGTCAACTCACTTAGTCTAAGAATTCCATTGATGCTTTCTTAGTCAGTTGTACTCTCTTAGTCTAAGGTTGCTTCGAGTGATTCTGAAAATTTTCCAAAGTTGTCTTTACCAGAGTCTTCTTAAAGCTACTGAAGGATTCTCTTCTGCCAACTTGACTGGTACGGGAGGTTTTGGGTCAGTTTATAAATAATTTATTTGATCAAGGTGAAACAACAATTGCCATGAAGGAATTCTGCCCCGTTTGATGGGAGCTTCCAATAGTTTCAAAGATGAGTGTGAGACGTTGAAAAATATTAGACACTGTTAGTGGCGAAGTCAGAAATTATAGGGAGAAGGACGAAATTTAAAAAGGGCAAAAAGTAAAAAAAATCCAGACAACTAAATCATTTTAGATAATAGACGATACTAATGTCGCTCATAATTTGTCAATAGAAACTAACTAATTATATTATATTAAACTATATCAATTAACCATATAAATTAATCTAAATTAAACTATATAAATTAATTTAAATTAAACTAACAAAAATTCATATAATTAGGAATTTAAATAACTAAAATTTGGAAAATTAGGGATTGGTGTTGCATGCTCCGCAGATGTGCCTGGGGAAAGGTCGGACATATCGCTCATGCTATGGCTGAGATGTGTCGGATCAAAAACAAAGTTCGAGCAGATAAAATGTTGGATTAGAATAAGCAAACTGATACTATTAAGTATTAGCATGTACGTAATAATCTTATTTCCTTAGGCCATCTCCAACCGATCCGGCCAGAGGGTCATAGGGCCGAAAATAGTCCGAAATAACATGAAAACCGTCTCCAACCGAAGGCTAGGCCAAAGAACTTGTGGGCCCCACCAGGTCAAAACCAATCAATCAGGCCAGTGAGCTAGCCATATTCAGCCAGCCAGCCCACTTTTTTTTTATTATTATTTTTTTTCTGTTCTTTTCCATTTGCCCAGCCCACTTTAGGGTTTAGGGTTTAGGGTTTTCTTTTGCCCAACCCACTTTTTTTTTTCTTTTTTTGCTCAGCCCACTTTTTTTTTTTTTAATTTCTAATTTTTTCCTACACTATTTCTCACATATTTTTCATCATTTCATACTATCTTACCTCATTTTATTTCAATTCTTCACATTCCATACTATAGCTCTTTGGCCCTCGGTTGGAGATGGTTTTTGGTCACAGGGCTGTGTTTGGCTTATGGCCCTCTAGCCCCTTGGTTGGAGATGGTAAGAAATATGATCATGCACTTTTCATTAAAATATTAATTTCTTAGAGGGACAAAGAGTTAAAACGAGTCATCTAGCTTTCATTCGGTTGGAGATGGCCTTATGTGAAAGTAGAAGTTTTCAGATTTTCTTGATCAATATAAACAGTATAGTTGATAACTTGTCTGAAGTCGATTTACTATTTCGTCCAGTTGAGTCGTTATACTTCTATGCCTTTCTATAATGAGTTTGTTTGCCAAGAAGGGCTACTTCAGTGAGGTTTTCCCCACAGACATAGCTACATACATTTTGATAACTCAAGGTTTGGGGTAGATGGAAAGAGCAAATTTAGCGAGTTCTGTCCCGATAAGCTAATGAACTCGCTAATGAAGCAGGGGGTTTATCAACACCTTGATTAATGCGATAAGGAAGACTAGCCGGATTAATTGACGAAGTAAACAAGCTCTTTGTGATGAAGAGAGGTTTATCAACTTTTCTTTCTTTTTTCAAAGGGAATTGCTATTGACACTCCAAAATCTCATTCTGCACTCCAACTTTTTATAATTTGAAAAAAAAATACATTTGTGAAGAGTCTAAAATAAGATTTTTGGAGTACTAGTAACAATTTCTTTTTTAGAACTCTGAAACATAATTGAGATTTGTTAAGCAATTATTTGTTCTTTCTGCAATTTTGAAAAGATGTTACGAATAATCCTTCATATATATTTCCTATCTAATTAATCTTTGTTTCGATTCTAACTTCGATCAAAATAAGGACCGAAACATGAAGAAAAATCTGAAATATTTTCAACTCAAATTGTAAGAACTTGCCATCTAATTGCAAAAGTATGTAGCAGCAGACATTGCAAACCCTAACAGCAAGTACTTATTTTCCCCAACTTTTAAGTTTGAAGTAGATAGAAAAGTCATGCAGAAAATATTTTCCAAACGCACTAGGTCGTTAATGGTTGATTTAAAACGCAATGCATGAAATTTCCCAACACCAAGAGAGAATTATTAGGGCATATTTTTTCTTCCACTAACGAAAGTTGGAATTAGATGCAACACTATTTAGAAAGATAACATCAAAGTTACTTTGTTCAACATACAAAATTAAACTAAATTCTGTTGACATACGGGACAACATATTTGAAAACGAGTGCACTCTATCACTGTTTTAGTTTGAAGGAGTGATAATATATAACATTTACGACTACCTAAAAAAATTGATTTCCTACAAACCCTATATTTTTCTATTTTTATGAAAATAAAATGCTTCAAACTCTTTTTCTATATACACCTTGTGTTCTCTCTTAAGATGGGAGAAAAGTCATAGATGTCCCCGAACTTATGTAATGATTGTTGAGAGTATCAATTCCACATCGAGAAAATGAGGGACCATGCACTACTACAAAAAACACTTTGCGTGACGAAATAAGTTTGTTTCGCAAAGTACAATTTCTTCGCGCAAAACCTTTTGCGACGAAATTTTGGTCGCGCATGTTTCGTCTTGCAAAGCTTGTGACGATAGGGTTTGCGCGACGAAAATTAATCTTCATCACGCATAGCTACTTTGCGCGACGAATTAGTTTGTCTCACAAAGTATCTTTGCGCGATGAAGTAGTTTGTCGCGCAAAGCTTGATGCAACGAAATATTTTAAATTTTAAATTTTTGTTTTTAAAATATTTTAATTAATTTAATATTTTGCGCGACGAAATATTTTGGCACGCAAGGTTTTTGACTTTTTGTTTTATTATTTCTCTTATATTAATTTAATTATATTAATTGTTTACGCAACGAAATATTTGGTAGTGCAAGATTTTTCGAATTTTTACTTTTTTAATTTAATTTAATTGTATGATTTTATTTTTTTTAAATACTTTAATTTAAATTGACATATTCAAAATAAAATTGCATATGAAAAATAGTGATCAAATTATCCAATATATATATAATATATTCAAAATGTACACATAAATTAACAAGGTACAATAATAAAATTCTAATACAAGTCTATTGTGGTGGTGGTGGTGGGGGATATGTTTCGATAGCGTCCTAATCCTCAACTTTAGCCGTCAAAGTCTCGATGATTCCCTACAAATATATATATATATGGTCAAATAACAAAAAATTGGCATAATCTCCACTAAAATTGGTATACCCCAAATCCGACCCCAAACTCCACTCCTCATCCTATACTCGACCCCAAACCTTGCACCAAACTCAAAACTAACTCCAAAAACACATATTAATGAAAAAAATTAAAATGTGGGGAGAATATACATTTTGGAAAGATTGAGAGTGAGTGAGAATGAGAGGGAGGAGCAAGTGTGAGAGAATTAGAGGAGATAGTGAGAGAGAGATGAGAGAGTCAATGAGAGTGACAGGTAGTGAAGAGAGAGAAGAGAGATTAAGTGAGAGGAGTGAGTGTGAGAGAGAGGGTCGGATTTGGGGAGAGGGAAAGAGAGAGGAGAGGTAAGAGTAGAGAAAGACATTGAGAAAATTGTGGAGGAGTTATTTTGGTTTTAAAACCGTATCACTTTGCGAGATGAAGGATACAAGTTTGCGCGATGAAATATTGGTCGCACAAAGTCTTAAAAAAAAATTTTAAAAAAAACTCCCGCGTCCCATTTTTTTGCCCGCCCAAATTTTTAGAGTTTTGCACAACGAAGTATTGGTCGCGCAAAGTTTTGAGCAACGAAAAATTGGTCGCGCAAAGTTTTGCATGACCACTAAAAAAAATTTAAAAAAATTCCCGTAGCCCATTTTTGGTGCCCGCCCAAATTTTTAGAGTTTTGCGCAACCACTTGAAAAAAATTAAAAAAAAATTCCCGCGTCCCATTTTTGGTGGCCACCCAAATTTTTAGAGTTTGGTCGTGCAAAGTCTTAAAAAAAATTCCCTCATCCCATTTTTGGCTCCCGTCCAAATTTAAGAATTTTGCGCGATGACGCAAAATTTATAAAAATAATTTTTATAAATAATAAAAAAGAAAATAATAAAATTTATTGAAAATGTGACTTTACTCCCTTCAAATTCAATTTTTTTTATATAAAACCCACAATATTATATTTTTCTAACAAAAACCCAATCCGTACTATAATAATAAATTTAAAGCTACATAATAAATATATATCATTCAATTCTTAAGTGTTATACGTACAAAATAAATAAATTTAAAGCTACTTAATATATATATATACACACACCATTCATCAATCCAACCGTCAAACTTGTTTGTATATACTTCAAGATCGTATACTCCAAAAATCTCAAAAAACAAATATTCAGAGATCAAGTAACGAGACAAAACTTTTCGACGGTTATAAACGAAAAATCACGATTTAACGGTTATTTTAACTCCGATTTTGATGACTTTTTACAGCTACACTTCTTGATCCTATATGAATAGAATGACTGAATTCGATCTTCAATTTAAAATATTTACACTAGTGATGTTATACATAATGAAAATATAAATAAACTCTTTAAGTGTTAGTGAATCTATTGTTTTGATGGGATATGCATTCTACAAAACTAGTTTCAACGATCCAACCGTCAAACTTGTTTGTATATACTTCGAGATCATATATACCAAAAATCACAAAAAACAAACATTTAGAGATAAAGTAATGGGACAAAACTTTTCGACGGTTATAAACAAAAAATCACGATTTAACGGTTATTTTAACTCTGATTTTGATGATTTTTTACAACTACACTCCTTGACCCTATATGAATACAATGACTAAATTTGATCTTTTTTATGGGATATGCATTCTACGAAACTAGTTTCAATGATCCAACCGTCGAACTTGTTTGCATATACTTCGAGATCATATACACCAAAAAACATTAAAAAAACAAACAAACATTCAGAGATCAAGTAACGGGACAAAGTTTTTAATAAATTTTCATCGCGCAAAGTTTCATTGCGCAAGACTTTGCGCGACGATGTGTGTTTCGTCGCGCAAAATTTCGTAGCACAAGGGTTTTTTTTTACTAGTGATGCAAACGCTTAAAAGTAATTTAACTACTCCTCATATTACCAATTGATTTTATAGTAGAACCTTAACTACTTTCTGTCGAAAAAAAATTGCGAAGAAAACTAGTCAATTCTCTAATTAGTCTAGAATTCCATCTTAGCTCTACACGTCAACTCTCTTTAGAATTCCAGTAATGCTTTGACTAGTAGTCTGTACATGTTTAAGGAACTGATACACGCACATCCGTTTTAGCCTCTCACTGCCAATATTTAATCATATTCATTGTTTGTACTTGATTTATCTAGTTCGATGACTGGAAATAAATAGTGTGTTTGAAAATCAGCGACCTTTATTTACCAAAAGATGCATGCTTATAAATTGGGTTATCCTCAAGCAGCTAGACAACCACAACTTACACACTAGACAACCTTAGCTCACCCAAACACACCATGGGGATTTACAAGTTTATTTCATCACTTCTCTTTTTCTCATCTTTTTGCATCCATGTTGTTGTTCTTACCTCATGTCTTAGTTCAGGCCTCGCCGGATCAAATGAGACAGATAAACTGGCCTTGCTTGAATTCAAGGCCAGGATAACCAGTGACCCCTTTGGTATCATGACTTCATGGAACGAAACCATCCACTTTTGCCATTGGTACGGTGTTACATGTGGTCACCGCCACAAGAGGATCACAATGTTGAAGTTGCGGTCCTTGAAACTTGGAGGCTCTATATCACCACATGTTGGAAATTTGAGCTTCCTCAGAGTGTTTAGTCTCATAAACAACAGCTTCCGCCATCAAATTCCTCCAGAAATTGGCCGCATGCGCAGGCTGCAACGTTTGGTATTGCAAAATAATTCATTGAGTGGAGAAATTCCCGCTAATTTATCAGGTTGCTCAAAACTCAACCGGATATATGTTGGCTTCAATTCGTTAGAAGGTAGTATCCCTAAGGAGCTTGGCACCTTGTCAAAGCTAAAAGAATTTGTTATTGACTTCAACAACTTTAGAGGAAGAATCCCCTTCTCTTTTGCCAATTTGTCATCTCTTGAAGTGATTGCTACACTTTTTAATAATTTTGGTGGCAGTATTCCAGATATCTTTGGTCGACTGACCAATCTTTATTTTCTTGGATTGGATGAAAATGAATTTTCTGGTATGTTCCCTTCCTCAGTTTTCAATCTCTCTTCTCTCGAAACCTTTGCTGCCGTAGAAAACAAACTTCATGGCACTTTTCCTTCAAACTTAGGCATTGCCTATCCAAGACTGCAAACCTTTGCCATTGGTTTGAATCAATTCAGTGGAACTATTCCCGTTTCAATATCTAATGCCTCTAATCTATTTGAGCTAGGACTCGGATCTAATCAATTGCATGGAGAAGTTCCCTCTTTGAAAAATTTACACAAGCTCGGGAGGTTTAATCTTGCTTATAACCATCTTGTAAGCGGGGGAATTGGTGATGACTTGAGCTTTCTCTGCGATCTGACTAATGCCACCCTTTTACAATCTTTGTATATCCATTCAAACAAATTTCGTGGTACGTTGCCTCAATGCATAGCCAACCTATCTTCTTCTCTTGTATCTTTTTCTATAGCCGAGAATGATATATTTGGCACTATCCCAAATGGGATGGAAAATCTGCATAACCTGGAAAGCCTAATGATATTTAGCAACCAGTTTGCAGGTCCCATCCCCCCCAAAATAGGAAAGCTCCCCAAATTATATCAAGTTGGTATGGCCATGAACTCTCTCTCTGGGAATGTTCCATCCTCTTTCGGAAATTTAAGTCGATTAACTAATCTATATCTAGAGGATAACAACCTTCAAGGCAGCATCCCTTCAAGTTTGGCCGAGTGTCACAACTTGGAGATCTTATCTCTTAGCAGAAACAATTTAAGTGGTACCATATCTCCTGAAGTCATTGGTGGTCTGTCTTCTTCGTATATTTTTGTGGATTTATCTCGAAATCATTTTACTGGCTTTGTTCCCAAGGAAGTCGGACATTTGATAAATCTAGAGCATTTTGATGTTTCCGGAAACATGTTATCTGGTGAGATTCCAGCAAGTCTTGGAAGTTGCAAAATCATACAATATCTTGACATGCAAGAAAACTTCTTCCAAGGGACAATTCCATCAGATATGAGTTCACTAAGAGGTATTGAATTCTTATCTCTCGCTCGCAACAACTTGTCAGGCACAATTCCAAAATTCTTGGAGCAATTTACATTTCTACAATCTTTGAATTTGTCTTATAACAATTTAGAGGGAGTCATACCAACTAAAGGAGTTTTTCAGAATGCAACTGCCACATCAGTCCAAGGGAATACAAAGCTCTGTGGGGGCATACCAGAGTTTAAATTGCCAAAATGCAAATTTCGACATTCCAGCAAGAGAGGGTTGAGCCTAACCTTGAAACTGATAATCTCTCTCCTTTGTGGGCTTTCTGGAGTCACTTTTTCATTGGCGTTTTTGTACGTTTGTTGCTTTCAGAGGGTAAAGAAGGAGCATCCTTCAAGTGATTCTGAAATTTTTCCAAAGATGTCTTACCAAAGTCTTCTTAAAGCTACTGACGGATTCTCTTCTGCCAACTTGATTGGTACAGGAAGTTTTGGGTCAGTTTACAAAGGATTACTTGATCAAGGGGAAACAATCATTGCCATCAAGGTACTCAACCTTTTTGCTCATGGGGCTTCCAAAAGTTTTACAGCCGAGTGTGAGGCCTTGAAAAATATTAGACACCGCAACCTTGTGAAGGTACTTTCTACATGCTCAGGATCTGACTATCGTGGTTGTGATTTTAAGGCTTTAATTTATGAGTACATGGTGAATGGGAGCTTAGATGAATGGTTGCATCCAACTCAGACAAGTATTGAGACGAATGAGAGGCCACAGAGCTTAACTTTTTCTCAGAGGTTGAACATTGCTATGGATGTTGCAATGGCATTGGATTATCTCCATCATCAGTGTCACGTGCCAATAGTTCATTGTGACCTTAAACCCAGCAATGTTCTTCTCAATGATGATATGATTGGACATGTAGGTGACTTTGGGTTGGCGAGATTCCTTCCAAAAACTCCTGAAGATGGTTTTGGTAATCAATCAAGCTCCATCGAAGTAAAAGGAACAATCGGGTATACTCCTCCAGGTGAGTACTTACTTTCTTCTCACCTTTCTAATTTGTTTTCCTTAATATTTTAGTAGGGCCTTGAGCAGATATTTAGACTGTTAAACAAATTGTATAAATGCAGAGTATGGTATGGGACATGAAGTGTGGACACAAGGTGACGTGTACAGTTACGGCATCCTCTTGCTGGAAATGTTTACTGGAAAGAGGCCAACCAGTGACTTGTTTCAAGGAACTTCAAATCTCCACAACTTTGTCAAGGCAGCTCTGCCTAAGCACGTGGTAGAGATTGTGGATCCTGTTCTTGTTCAGGAAAAAGAGGAAGGGGAGACGAGCGCAGACCAATGTTTTACTAAGGCTAGCACAAAGATCCACATCAAATTTGAAGAAGGCTTGATTTCAATTTTGGAAATCGGCCTTGCCTGCTCTGCAGAGTTGCCTAGAGAAAGATTGGACATCACTGATGCTGTGGCTGAGATGTGTCGGATCAGAAACAAACTTCGATCCGATAAAATGTTGGATTAGAATAAGCATATTGTTAATTTGTTGCATTAGCATGTAATAGTTTTGTTAATCAGCACTGTGTTAATTAGCACTGTGGTCGAGACGTTGCATGATAATAGGAGGAATAGCCCGAGGAATTCTATCTTCACGAAGATTCAAGTCTTAGAGTTATACATAGCGATTTGAAACCGAGCAATATCCTATTAGTTGTTAATATGAATCCAAAAATATCATACCTTGGGATGGCCAGGATGTTTGGAGTTGATGATGAAATTGAAGGAAACACAAGAAGAGTTGTCGGTACTTAGTAAGTTTCTTCAACTTAATTATCCCTCTAGGATTAATCATCTCAAACACCTTTTATATATATATATATATATATATATATATATATATATATATATATATATATATATATATATATAAACTCATCTTTGCAACTATATTTTACGTGCAATTAGCGGTTACATGGCTCTCGAATATGCTATGGGCAAGATTTATTCCATAACCAGATGTTTTTAGCTTCGGAGAAATCATGCTTGAGATTGTAGATGGGAGAAGGAACTTTTTAGGGAAAGGGATCCTTTCCGGATCCCTTCCACCTAATCCTATTAATCAACAAATCAGGGCCCTTAAAATTTGATCCAACGGTAAAAATTATTATAACTTTTAAATGAGCCTCATGTTTTTAGCCGTTGAATCAAATTTCAAGGGTCCGGATTTGTTGATTGGTAGGATTAGGTGGAAGGGATACAAAGAGAATCCCTTTCCACTTTTTAGGCTTTTATCTCACAGACAGTGCAGCTACTCTTTTAGTACATGTAAGCATAAAGGTCGTACCCAGTGCACAAGGCTCCCGCTTTACGCAGGGTCTGGAAGAAGTGAATGTCGGCTAGCCTTACCCCCATTTATGGAGAGGCTGCTCCCAAGTCTCGAACCCGAGACCTACCACTCATGGGCGAATGCACTTGCCATCACACCAAGTGCGATCATGTAAGCATGATTATACAAAATATTTTCCAACTAATTAATTACCTATCTATCAACTTAATTAGTTGTGTTACTATTACATCCTCGATCGCATGCAGGCTGGGCAGTTGTGGAATCAAGGGAAAGGGTTGAAGCTGATGGATCCCTTGTTCAAAGATTCATGCAGCGCTGACGAATTTTCGAGACACATCCATATCGGATTTTTATTTGTTAATGTTATTAAACGAATATGGCATGGCAAGAAGATCGATCCCGTATGAAGCCACCGTCATAGTATGTCACGCACCCTACCTTCCAAGATTGAAGGTTTTGCGGACAAACGCTTCAGGGTCTTAATTACGGAGTGAGTTTCTGCAACAAGATGCCAATCATCGGCCAACCATGTCATCAGTTGCTCTGATGTTGAAAAGTGAAACTGCTAAGTCTATCCAAACCCGAGCAACCGGCCTTCTTTGCAGGAAGATCCACCACTCACCAACATCAAACAAGTGCTCATGGTTGGTCTCTGCAAATGGTTTGACGATTCCAGAAGATGTCCGACGTAGAGAATTTGATGGGCGACGATGGCTTGCACGATCAACACAAGCCACTGTCACCAATTGTAGATAAACAGTGTAGTATAAATGACAATCAACCTTGTTACATCATTTTTCTGGGTCCTGTTTACCATATTTCACAATGCACTTATATAGCATACAAACAGTACATTTCCTCCCTTTTTTTTTCTTAGATTTCATTTATTGTCTGTTACGTTACAAAGAAACAAATGACAATTTCCTCGCCAGGATTTTCACAACTTTCTCATGCCTGGTTTCTTGCCTATAAACTCTCCCTACTTACTGTCTGGCTTGTGGTCGTTACTCAGTTACCGCCAACAGGTTTCTTTCTACGCATACCTGTTCAATATAGATGAAATAAGAAAATGAGATGAAGCGGGCGACAGCATGTGAGAAATAGTAATGCATTTTGATCTTTGTGATAAGGATCAAACCGTAATGACAGTTGAAGCAGTGGATACAGTATTTAACATGAATCATCACTATCATAGATCAAGATCAGATGTTTCCAGTTTCTCTTTTCAGATTTCGAGTGAGAAATGGGGAGGTGTTTGGTCAAGATGGTATAAGGAATTCCTTCAGCAGCAAGCAACGATGGCTTGTGATCAACACAATAAGGGCAGTTGAGAAGCGGAAGAAAGAATTTTACTGTTGTATTGTTGTGGCAAAGCTGCTGGACAGATAAAAACACAACTCTAGATCCAGTATCACATAAGCATGGGATCGAACAATTTGCAAGCTGTTCAGAAAACTGCAAGTTTTAGTGAACAGGCAGAAGTTTTGAGCAGTAAAACATCTCCGCATTGACGGGCATAAAAGAATTATCCATGGAATGAAATCAAGTAAAAATCCTACATGGATGCAAATGCATATTTAGTCAATGGATCCCTGGAATCCATGCCACAAGCTTGTTACGTCATTATGTTATGTATAAACGTAACAGAGACCACTTATTATGTTCCTAGAAGACCACTTATCAATGTCTAGAAAGAACTAGGAATAGGGCAGTACTGAAATTTTTCGTGCTCCTTTAAGGAATACGTACCCACAGAGCTCTTGCTCCAGAGAACCTGACCATCGATAGCAGTGAGGTGCTCATCATCAAGGCGTTTCCATGTTTTGATTGACTTGACCGCTCCCCAACCTCCCTTAACCGTTTTCTCTAAGTTTGCTACCACCACCCTTGCTCTCCTATCCCATCCAGCCTTCCCATAAGCATGGTATCCAAATCCCCCAGCATAACAAAGGTTTATACCACTTAGCTCCCCACAGAAGTCATTGAGGTGATCATGGCCTATGAACACTGCCTTCACATCTCCTGCTGCAACCATGGTTGTGAAGAAGCCCGAGTTCACAGAAGCAGAGCTAATGCCTTCTTGTTTCACTCCTGTAAAGTTTGATGAGTCAAAACTAGCAAATTCCGGCAATGGTATGTGAAAGTATGCGATCCCTGGCGCAGGCGCTTTCTGGGGTAGGGGCTTGCTCATGTATGCTTTCTGCAGGGAAAAAGCCGGTGTCATCAGAACTAATTAGAAATAAGTTAATCATCACAGATGAATATTGTGCAAGGGTTGATGGAAATGACTAGTTCAGGTAAATGTGAGCCATAAAAAAAGAACGGTGAGCAAAGTAGCGAGGTTAGTACCTGAAGCTTTGCAGAAGTTCGTTCAAACCAATATTGTTGGGAGGGTTTGATCCAACCATAGCGACCTATGGAGGGAACCGTAGAGTAATCTCCGCTGTCAAGGAAGTAAAGATTGAGAACCGATTTGTTTTCAAAACTAAAGCCCTCAACTCCGGCGACTTCTAGGTTATAGTTCCCAAAACCATCAATAGCATCTTGGCCTAAAGGATTAACTTGAGCCAGAGTGTTCTTCAACCCAACTATGTGTTTCATTACCCCTTCCCTCGAGAGGTCGGATTGCTGATCATGGTTCCCCAACACAGCTGCCCACGGGATGTTGGACGCGATTGCTGGGGCGAACGCCTCGTTCAAAGATTTAGCAGCATTCGTGACATCAAACCCGTATATGTTATCTCCTGTGGCACAAAGTTCAGATTGGAGAACCAATCAGAAATCCCAGTATCATAGCTAAAATCAAACCTTTGCTAAACAAAATCCAATGCTCATCGTGTCCTATCCGATCCTATCTAATCCCATCCCAACAACTCATAAACATAAACAAGAACAATGAAAGGGGAAGAACAAATACCGGTGAAGACGATGAGATTCGGCTTCTCCGCCTCGATCATGCGGCGTACAAAGGCGGTGGTGTTGAGGTCAGAGCAAGTTGCAAACTGGGACGGCAGCACATCCTTACAAGGCGTAGTCTTGCCATTGCCGTAGTGCATATCCGCCACTTGCAGAATCTTAAACTGCCCATCTGTCCCAAACGTCAGCTTCTTATCCCCAATTCCTCGTTGGAGGTGGTGGTTCTGTTGTTTTGCGGCAGCCAAAACCCATATCGGCAGCAGCGCCGCCGCCACAACCGCCGCTAAAAATGGACTCCTTAGCACCTCCCTGTCCCTCTTCATCCTCACTGCACCACCTCATCTCCCAGACCACCGACTCTGAACCACCATTTTAAACTCACGAGTTGCACCAACAAAGAACTTTCTTTTTCTCACTTTTTTATTCTTTCAAAGTTTTAACGTTTTCTCGGTAACCAAACAAAGTGGGTCTCAGTCTGCCTGCCAATTAATTAAACCGACAGAATTCCTGTGTAAGCATATTTTCCAGGACTTGGATTGTCTGCCCTCTAATTGCGGTGCTTTTCCTGTGCCTTTTATTTTTGTGGTCACGGTTAAGTCACATCAACATTTTATATTACTATTTTTTTTTTTTATTATTTTTATAAAAAAATAATATAAAATATTAACGTAGCTTAACCGTGATCACACAAAACAGGAGGACACGGCGAGGGCACCAAAATAGAAGAGCCGATCAGGTATAGCCTATAGGCAGCAATGCAGCGTCATCAGCACGGACCCTTTGATTTCTTGTTGCCACGTGGCAGTTCTCCATTGGAACCTCAGCCACATTAAAAAGGATATTATTGTCTTTAAAATGGATTAATTGGTTTTTTAGTTTTTAGTCGAAATTGGTTTTTTTTGACGTATAAAAATTACGTCTGCCGGCTGCAATTGGTTTGCCTGGTTTTCAGTTCAGTTTTTTGACTAAATCAAATCCAAAATTAATTACCAAATCAAATTTCTGTAATTTACAACCTTAACAATTAATTTGACAAACATAATTGTAGGTTTTCTTCGGTGTTTAAAAATGTTGGAAGGAAGCATGAGTTAACAGCAACAACATGAACCAATAATGCATCATTAGTTCAAGTTGGCCCTGAGGGTGTGCAACAAGTGCTACCGCACAGAGCTCCGATTCGGAAGGACTTTTAAATTTTCATTACATGTATACAAATGCATATAAAATAGATTATATTCAAAAGATAATCTTATATGTGCAGGAGATAACAAAAAGACATCCAACGTGTATTGAACTCAGGACCTTTAAAGGTAAGGAAAAACATTTGGTTGATCAAACAACTTATTTTTATTGCAATAACTTATAATATTTTGGTTTTATAGATGAAAAAAATTGAAAAATATAAGAATAAAGAAATATAACATTAAAAAAATAAAAGATCTCTATCTAAATTTTGCACATGACTTTTCAATACTCAGGGGCGGCCCTGCCTTTGTTGAATTGTTTATTTAAAAACTATTATTAGGAAACATTAGATGCGGGTATGAAACGCTCAAGCTGAGGCTTTTGAGTTAGTGCGAATAAAGTAATGAGTATTAGAATAGGACGAGAGTTCCGTTCCGTTTCCGCCAATATCTTAATAAAAAATAAACACTTGGACAAGAGTTCCGTTTCCTCCAACATGATAAAAAAAAAAAAAAATTAAATCAAAAACTTGTAGTAGCACGTTATATATGTCTTGACTTCTTGTTACAACTTGAGAGTCTGAACATTATCATTATTGTAGTCAATACATGCCAGCTATTTATTTTGCATTCAGCCCTTCACATGTTATTGAAAGTCTGAACATGATCTTTTTGTAATCTCAATAGTTTTTTGAGTTTGAAATATAAACGGGTTCTTAAAGGATCGGAGGAGCATATTGCCTAAGTAAATTAAAAAATTATCATCCTTTAATCTAATTATCTTACAGTAAATAAAATTAAAGTAGTTAAACCAATATTTGATTGAATTTGTTATAAATAGGCAAAAGTTAGAGAGATAACTTTTGCTAGTGACAAGAGCAAAGCATGTGTAAAATATCATACTAGAGGATGATGATAAAAGAAGGAGGGAGAGATACTGATGTTATTGATATTTTCTTTTCGCAGTATAGTTTAATAGCACACAGAGCGCTCTATTTATAGAGCAACCCCAAACGATCATAATAATTACATCTTGAAAAGCACACACTTTTTGAAAGTATCACACAAATACAATCATCATTCTTTTCCCAAGTCCACATTACTGTGTAGGCATTCATTAATCCACCAATGTTTACAACACTCCCTTGGATGTCCACATATCAACATCAGTTGCCTCGTTAAAACCTTGCTTGGAAAAAACTAGTGGGAAAAAACCATAGCGAAGGAAAAAGTGTACAACTTTACCTGGATTGTTGATATAGTGATATGTATGCTTATGTTGCCTCGTTAAAACCTTGATAGGAAAAACCCAGTGGGAAAAATCCTAACCGAAGGAAAAAGAGTACAACATGCATGTATCATGGATGATGCCCCTAATATATATCTCTTCTTGATTCCGCATTCTTCAAATTTAGCTGATTGGTAAGTCAACATAATCAGATACTCTGCACTAACTTCTGAAACGTGCACTTTGGTAGAGATTTGATGAATAGGTCTGCCAGATTTTCATTGGAACAGATTTGTGATAAGCACATATTTATATATATTTTACATCAAATTCACTTGTCTTGTCTTAGTTTGTTCCTTATATTCTTGAGTTATTTACTTTGTTTTTGTGTTTTGTGGGATTTGTCAAGCAAAGAAAAGAAAAATAGCACAAGTGGGATTTTAAGTAACAAATTCGTCAAAACTGCCTGTGCGGATCAGCTGACTTTGGAAACAAGTTGCGAACAGCTCAGAATGAATTAGAGAATGAGCCTTATATGCTTGGAAAGCTAAGGATGTCTATTTTTTGGAGCATTTCACGAATTGCTAATATCATTTTTCTAGAAGAAGTTATGGCCATTTTAACACTGAAAGGTTACCAAGAGGTTGAGCAGTTTGTAACTGTTATGAAAGCAATAAACCCAATAAATCTAACAGCCAAAACTGATGCAACCAAGAACAAGTCAGTTGACACTTATTAAAATATAAAAGGGAATGGAATTAAAGATGAGGATTAAGATGGAGTAATTGGCATAAAGGCTGCCCAAAGAGTTACAATTATTTTACCATTTTCTCTCACTTATTGTCATCACTAAATGGCTATTAGTGGGTGAGTTAACGAGAAGAAAAGGATGCAGCAAGAATTGGTTTAAAAGCAGTGTTGGGGAAGGAAGGAAAGGGAGGAGGAGGCCTCAGTCGATTTCTTTCGGTTCTATCTTCTCAAACTCATGTCTATCTTTTGTTTTAACTTAAGGATTGTGTGTAACTAAATTTTTAGTAGTTAGGGGCTGTTTTGAAGCCCTAAATATGATTGCAATTTTGTTACGACATTTTGTTTGAATTACTTTTATGAATGGATGAAAATTGGTTCACTACTTGTCTCATTGATGAATTCTTTATTTGTTTTCTATGGATGCATATGTAGTAAGCATATCTAGGATTCTAATGCTATGAATATGTGTGTGTCTGCCCTTGTCGAATGAGGACCTACATATGTTATAGAGTAGTACTTGTTAATTGCGATTAACATGTGAACTAATTTCTAGGATAAGTAAGACAACGCCAGTACTTACGATACCTTGTGATGACTCAAACTCTTTTCGTTCTTAATGATTTCTACTTGTTAAATCTATGAACACGCCATTCTAGATTGTATGTTAGGGACTAAGTTAAGTTGAAAACGTCATTCTCTTAGCATACTACATAAGAAAGAGTAATAGGTTGAGTTCTAACATTGAGCCAACTTGAGCATCTTCATCCGGAAATAAAAGGAAGTTGAATGAAACATAACATGTTTGCATGATTATTTGGTGGTGGATAGCAATTCCCCTAACTCGTTTTTCTTAATTTGTGAACTACTTAAAATCTATTTCTGTCCTGTTTTTGTTCAATTTAATTTAAAAAGCAAATCAATTCCAAAAATCCCAAACATTTGTGTGAGTGTAGCTCTGTGTGTCTAGTGTGTTCATATAAAATTTTGTAGACTTTAGATAAGTGTAAGTCAATCTAATAATTATTTTTCGGTGGCTGATCAGTAGGGACAGCAGCCCAGTTTTTGTGACATTTTAAGTAGTTAGATTAAACAATTTTCTGCGGAAAAGACCCTTATTTTCATATGCTACAATTGACAAATCTTAGCTTTAATAAGGAAAATCAATAGGACATTTGTGTGCTACTTTGTGGTGTGCTTTTAATCCTAGCAAATTTTTGGCGTTGTTGCCGAGGATTGTTGTTTCTAATTAGTTATTTCTCTCTTGTTTTCTTTTCTTGTCTAATTAGTGTTTTTGTTTTTATTTTTATGTCAAGTACTCTTCGTAGTATATGCATACTCGAAGGTCCAAGAACCAGCCCCCCTTGGATGATTACTCTTGGAAAGTTTGATCATGTCCACCCTTGAAGTTGATTGTAAAATTGGAGTTTGGGGGTCATCGCTTGATTTTAATGGAAATTGGGGTAGTTTTCAGTCCAAATGCTTTATTTTATTTCTTACAATTTTATTTTTATTTTATGCATTATTGTGTTTTCTGACATTGGCGACAATGTCCAGTTTAGGTTTGGGGGTAAGGATTGAAAAACTGACGAAATTGAAAATTTTCAAACTTTCGACTAAGAACTGGTTTGATTTGTTTCCGTGTTGTTTCTTTTTGTTTTCTTAATTTGTGGTGTGCTTTTAATCCTAGCAATTTGTCTGACTTCAACAACTTTAGCCTTCTGAAGTTCATGTGCACTAAAAAACTTTGGAGATATGTGTTTAGTCTTATCGCTTTTGATGAATCGTTTCTTCATTTGGACAACACAGGCTGCATTATATTCATGGATGATAATTGAAGTGTCTGTCTTTGAAGGTAGACCACATGAATCCGGATATGATGGATCATTGATCTTAACCAAGAACATTCATGACTTGCTTCATATAAAGCAAGTATTTCTAAGTGATTTGAAGATGTAGCAACTAATGTTTGCTTTATTGAGCGCTATGAGATTGTTGTATCTCCATTAATGAACACATATCCAGTTTGTGAGCGGGTTTTATGGGATCAGAGAGAAAACCAGCATATGCATATCCAACAAGGATTTGATCATTTGTGGATTTCTCTGAGTAGAAGAGACTCATGTTTGTTGTCCCACGAAGGTATTGCAATACATCTTTGACTCCATTCCAATGACGAATTGTTGAAGCAAAGCTATACTTTGCTAACAAGTTGACTAAAAAAACTATATTTGGTCGAGTACACTGTGCTAAATACAATAAAGCACCTATAACACTCAGATCTGGT